GGAGTCCTCTGGTCTAACACCGTTTGAGACGAGGCTCTAAAGAAAGCTGTCTCTGGTGTGGACCAATCAGTTTAAATGACAATGCATATATTATCAGAGTATGTTTTTTAATTTGCATTCTGACCACAAGTATTGTGGTTAATGCAGACATGATTCTTTGTAAAAAGGTTTCAGTTTTGTTGCCAGAAAAAAGGGGAAAAACCTATTCTTATTTCTTGTATAGTGTAGTGTATAGTAGTATATAGTGTATTGTATAATAGTGTATATCAGTGTAGTGTATAGTGTAGTAGTGTATAGCAGTGTAGTGTATAGTGTAGCAGTGTAGTGTATAGTGTTGTAGTGTATAGTGTAGTAGTGTAGTGTATAGTAGTGTATAGTGTAGTAATGTATAGTGTAGTAATGTATAGTGTAGTAGTGTATAGTGTAGTAATGTATAGTGTAGTGTATAGTGTAGTAGTGTATAGTAGTGTAGTGTATAGTGTAGTAGTGTATAGCAGTGTAGTGAATAGTTTAGTATTGTAGTATATAGTGTAGTAGTGTAGTGTATAGTGTAGTGTATAGTAGTGTATAGTGTAGTCGTGCTGGAATCTATCACCAGGGCAAGGGAGGTGTGTTCTTGATACAGCAATTGTGCTGTGACGGTTCCACCTGAAGGCGGAAGCTTGTGTTGCCTCCGAAACGTCGTGATTTATTATTTTATTTCTATTATTTTTCTATTATTTTTATTATTTTTATTTTTTACCTACGTGACTTTACCGAAAAAAACCTAAGAAAGGTGTGGACCGTCACTTCTCAACACGCTGCTGTAGTGTAGTAGTGTATAGTGTTGTAGTGTATAGTGTAGTAGTGCTGTAGTCTATCACCAGGGCAAGGGAGATGTGGACCGTCACTTCTTAACACGCTGCCGCCGCGACCCTCAGCAGGACAAGCGGCCTGAGAGACGAACGAGCGAACGTGTCTCCATGGGTTTTGCGATATGGCCCGTAGCTTTGGGGTTACATGGACACATCGCTGGCGCTTTACCTCGTTAATTTGCCCCACTCACGATGAAGGCCTGATGTTGATGTACTGATGTTGATGTTCTGATGATCTGATGTTGATGTTCTGATGTTGATGTTCTGATGTTCTGATGTTGATGTTCTGATGTTGATGTTCTGATGTTGATGTTCTGATGTTGATGTTCTGATATTCTGATGTTGATGTTCTGATGTTGATGTTCTGATGTTCTGATGTTGACGTTCTGATGTTGATGTTCTGATGTTTTGATGTTGATGTTCTGATGTTGATGTTCTGATGTTGATGTTATGATGTTGATGTTCTGATGTTCTGATGTTCTGATGTTGATGTTCTGATGTTGATGTTCTGATGTTCTGATGTTGATGTTCTGATGTTGATGTTCTGATTTTGATGTTATGATGTTCTGATGTTGATGTTCTGATGTTGATATTCTGATGTTGATGTTCTGATATTCTGATGTTGATGTTCTGATGTGCTGATGTTGATGTTCTGATGTTGATGTTCTGATGTTCTGATGTCGATGTTCTGATGTTGATGTTCTGATGTTGATGTTCTGATGCTGATGTTCTGATGTTGATGTTCTAATGTTGATGTTCTGATGTTGATGTTCTGATGTTGTTGTTCTGATGTTGATGTTCTGATGTTGATGTTCCGATGCTGATGTTCTGATGTTGATGTTCTGATGTTGATGTTCTGATGTGCTGATGTTGATGTTCTGATGTTGATGTTCTGATGTTGATGTTCCGATGTTGATGTTCCGATGCTGATGGTCTGATGTTGATGGTCTGATGTTGATGGTCTGATGTTGATGTTCTGATGTTGATGTTCTGATGTTGATGTTCTGATGTTGATGTTCTGATGTTGATGTTCTGATGTTAATGTTCTGATGTTGATGTTCTGATGTTGATGTTCTGATGTTGATGTTCTGATGTTGATGTTCTGATGTTGATGGTCTGATGTTGATGGTCTGTTGTTGATGTTCTGATGCTGATGTTCTGATGTTGATGTTCTGATGTTGATGTTCTGATGTTGATGTTCTGATGTTGATGTTCTGATGTTGATGTTCTGATGTTGATGGTCTGATGTTGATGTTCTGATGTTGATGGTCTGATGTTGATGTTCTGATGTTGATGGTCTGTTGTTGATGTTCTGATGCTGATGTTCTGATGTTGATGTTCTCATGTTGATGTTCTGATGTTGTTGTTCCGATGTTCCGATGTTGATGTTCCGATGCTGATGTTCTGATGTTGATGTTCTGATGTTGATGTTCTGATGTGCTGATGTTGATGTTCTGATTTTGATGTTCTGATGTTGATGTTCCGATGCTGATGTTCTGATGTTGATGTTCTGATGTTGATGTTCTGATGTGCTGATGTTGATGTTCTGATGTTGATGTTCTGATGTTGATGTTCCGATGCTGATGTTCTGATGTTGATGTTCTGATGTTGATGTTCTGATGTGTTGATGTTGATGTTCTGATGTTGATGTTCTGATGTTGATGGTCTGATGTTGATGTTCTGATGTTGATGTTCTGATGTTGATGGTCTGATGTTGATGTTCTGATGTTGATGTTCTGATGTTGATGCTCTGATGTTGATGTTCTGATGTTGATGTTCTGATGTTGATTTTCTGATGTTGATGTTCTGATGTTGTTGTTCTGATGTTGATTTTTTGATGTTGATGTTCTGATGTTGATGTTCTGATGTTGTTGTTCTGATGTTGATGTTCTGATGTTGATTTTCTGATGTTGTTGTTCTGATGTTGATGTTCTGATGTTGATGTTCTGATGTTGATGTGCTGATGTTGATGTTCTGATGTTGATGTTCTGATGTTGATGTTCTGATGTTGATGTTCTGATGTTGATATTTTGATGTTGATGTTCTGATGTTGATGATGGGGTTTAACATCACCGCTGTCGACGCCGAAGAGCAGGGATGTCAAACACAGGGGCGATGTTTGTGGCGTTGAGTGGGATGTTTATTGTGGACGTCCGCGTTTTTTTCACATCTAAATTACCCGTGTGTGTGTGGACGCGTTGATATTTCTACTCGTGTGTGCTGTGCAGTTGTATGCACGTGTGCATGTATATAATGTGTGTGTAACTTGTGTGTGTAAAGGGGGAGCGTTTGGGTAGCGGTTAGAGCGCTGCACTACGAATCCAACGATCCTAGTTCGATTCGCGCTCACGACCAACACCAGTCTCGATTATCTGAACCAGGCAAGGGCCTCCCCTAGGTCGACTCAGCCTCGAATGAGTACCTGGCGCGATGTGAGAACATCGCCACCGGGGAGACAAAGGCGGCCGGGCGTGGTGCTGGCCATAGAGACAAATATTTTTGCGTGTGTGTTTAGTGTTGTTGTCCTAACCCCCCACACATCCGATTAGCACGGTTGGCTACGTACGGCGCGAAAGAAATTCAACGTACCCACCCCCTCGTGTGCCGTGCCGGCCTTCAGAGGTGCTCGCTCACAGCACTTGCTCCACCGGTCTGTTGAGGCTATGTAGTTTGGGGGGAGGAGGATATTGAATCTTTGTCAGGTGTGGAGCGTTGTTGGATTCCCCGCTGAAGGCCAACATCCAGTGACGGACTAAGCTAGTGCGGGGCCTGTAGCATATTATGTTATCAAGGGGCCCAAATAAAAAAAAACACGTAAATATTAAAACACTATGGTTTTTTAACTTGCATGGTAAAGTAATTGTATTTTTTCATTTGCAATACAGCCAGATAATACGACAGATCGCTAACCTTAAACACCCAGTCTTTCATAGAGGCTGAAGGCAATATAGTACTATAGTAATAGAGCAAGTGCAGACTCACTAGCGCGGGGCCCTTTGAAAGTGCGGGGCCCGTAGCATATGTAGCTACTCTTGCTACGAGGCTAATCCTGGACTGCCAACATCAGTGACGAATATCTGAACCGCTCTCGGCTCTCCTCCAAGGTCGGCTCTGCGTGAACCGATGAACCCTGGTGCGGTGCGTACAAAAAAACTGCATCAATACTGGGGAGACAAAGGCGGTCGGGCGTGGCCCCATGGCCCCACCACCTCCCATCGAGGTGTTCGCCAACAGCAACTCGCACGGACAGTCTGTAAAGGGCCACACGGGGGAATCTGCGTCTTCGTCTTCGTCTAAAGTATATTTATCTTTCTACACATACAGGTGCGTGGTGGTGCGCGCGCGCGTGTGTGTGTGTGAACGCGCGTTCACGTGCGTCAATATCGGTGCGCGTGTGTGTGGCTTTGCGTGTGCGCCTCTCTGTGTGTGTGTGTGTTTGTGGAGCGGTGGCACAGTGGTTAGCGCGCTGCGCTACCGGCGACACCGAGTTCGATTCCCGCTCACAGCCGCCAACACCGGTGACGATTATCTGAACCGGTCCTGGGCCTCCCCTAGGTCGACTCAGCCTCAAATGGGTACCTGGTGCGGTGTGGAAACATCGTCACTGGGGAGACAAAGGCGGCCGGGCGTGGTGCTGGCCAACCACCCCCTCGTGTGCCGTTCTGGCGTTCATAGGTGCTCGCTAACAGCACTTGCCCCAACAGTCTGTTACAGGCTATACGGGAGATCTTTGTATTTGTTTGTGTGTGGAGCGGTGGCACAGTGGTTAGCGCGCTGCGCTACCGGCGACGCAACTTTGATTTCCGCTCGAAGCCGCCAACACCGGTGGCCTCGTAAGCCCGGTGCGATGTGTGTAAACATCGCTACGAGGGAGACAAAGGCGGCCGGGCGTGCTGCTGGCTACCCCTTCGTTTGCCGTCTCGGGCCTTCACCAGGTGCTACTCGCCAACAGCACTTGCCCCAGCAGTCTGCCGAGGCTATACGGGGAATCTTTGTCTTTGTGTGTGTATGCGTTTCCATGCGCGTTGCGAAGACGCTCAGAGCACGTGGAATGAATCTCTCCCCTCCCCCTCTTCCCCCCCCCATCCTCTCATCCCCTCCCCCTCCCTGAAGCATTCATCACCACTCGACCTCCTCCAGCACCACCACCACCACCCAGCCACCCACCTCCTCCCCTCTCCAAACCCCTGTGGTCACAACTGCCGCCCAGTAGTAGCACAGACACGTTTCAAACTCACGCGGCCACCACCATCAACCACCACAACCAGCACCAACAACAAGAGACGACAACAACAACAACAACTCAAGCGAACTTCAACAACGCACCTTCATCCGGACTTCTTCACATCCTGGTCTTGGCCATCGGGCGCACATCGTTTGTACTCGGGGAGAAACGCTCTGCGAGGTAAAGGCGCGGCCCTGCAAGTGCTTGCTCACTCTGCACTGCCACCGGCAGGGCTTCCAGTGCGAGCGAGCGAGCGACTTCTCTCGCACCCTCTGGAGGGTGCGTTTGGTCTACTCTTCCACGGTGGCCCGGACGTCTTGGCAGAGGTGGGGAATAGCCACTGCTCGTCACAACAACCATTTTGAGCAGAATAAAGACGAGAATCAATCTCACACTTCCAAAGCGCCTTCGCGCGAGGCTTCAGAGGCAGCAGTTAAGACGCCCGCATTGCGTCGATGGAGTTGTCGACCAATGCTGTGGAGCTGTAATCCTACCCCCCCCACGTGCCCGCTGTTGATCCCGGGATCGCTGTGGCTGCAGGCCGTGTCAACGTCTACCAAATTGAATCGACGGCGATATCAATCGATCGACTTCTCATTCGCCGCAGCGACGTTCTTCGAACGCGACAGAGGCAAAGGGAGAGAGAGAGAGGAGACGAATTGAGAGGCGGTGGTAGCAGTTGAGTCGGGGGGGGGGGGGTGAGGGTGTGACCCTCTCTTTGACGTTCGGACAAAAAACAACAACTTCGAAATAAAAACGTGCATTCGCGACGATGTCGGACGAGGAGGAGGATGAAGAGGTTCCGGCGGTCGCGTTCGAGCGGGACGAGAGGGTGGTGTACTTGGAGCGGCGCGTCTCGCTGTGCCTCCGCGTGCGCGCGGACAGCTGGAGCAAGTTCGTCGTCGACGAGGAGAGCCAGAGGACAGTGTCCGCCTTCCTGGAGGATCCCGCACGCCGCGTCCTCGTGTTCCATCTCCTCCCGTCTGGAGCCATCGCCGCGTCCAACGCGGCAAGTGGGAACAGAGGGGGGTGGGTGGGGTGGGAGGGTCGCGGTGGCGATGATCATCGTCGGCATCCTCGTCGCCGCCGTCTTGTAACATCAGCAGCAGCATCATCAGTAGCATCATCAACAGCAGCAACATCATCAACAGGATCATCGTCATCAGCACCATCGTCACCATCAGCATCATCAGCGCCATTGTAATCAGCATTATCAACATCATCAGCAGTGGCAGCAGCAGCATCATCATCGTCATGAGCAGCATTATCAGCATCATCAGCAGTAGCAGCAGCAGCATCATCATCGTCATGAGCAGCATTATCAGCATCATCAGCAGCAGCATCAGCAGTAGCATCATCAACAGCAGCAACATCATCAACAGAATCATCGTCATCAGCACCATCGTCACCAGCAGCATCATCAGCAGCAGCAACAGCAGCAGTGGTAGCGTAATCAGCACCATTGTCATCAGCATTATCAACATCATCAGCAGCAGCAGCATCATCATCGTCATGAGCAGCATTATCAGCATCATCAGCAGTAGCAGTTTCGTCATTGTCACCAGCAACATCAGCAGCAGCTACATGTGCAGCAGCAACAGTACCATCATCATCAACACAGCCATCAGCAGCATCAGCATCACACTCATCATCAACATCAGGACAGCAGTATCATGATCACTATCAGCACTATTAATTATCACAGCATGTGCTGGGGCAAGACATTTGCTGAACCAATGTTTGAAAATTCACCAACTATCTCCTCTGTGAACTTACATCAAATCCGTCGTTTCAGACTTTGGGTGATGCTGGTTGTTTTTTGGGGTCGAGAGGTCATCATTACCGATGGGGGCGAATTCCACCACCCCTCGGCTCTCCGCTTCCCTTTGCCAGAAGGCCGAGTTAGGTGTCTTCCGCTCACGATGCTAATGACAATGTCACATTTATGTATCCATCGAGGAAAGCCTCACCGGGTCTCAAGACCCTTTTTGCCAGTAGGGGTCCTCCCAGAAAACGTGCAACGTTGAATCAGCGTTGGGCCCACCTCAGTCCAGTGGTGACGACTACCCGTGACCACACGTGACCACCGTTGGTGCAACGTGTGGGCATGTTAACTCGGGCTGCTGCGTCCGGATGTTTGGCCGATTCATTGCTGACGAGTGTGTGTTTGTGTGTTTGTGTGTTTGTGTGTTTGCCCTTCATCGTGTTGGAGGCAGCTGGAGAGTGCGGAGGAGAAGCCCAGACATACGAGGGGAGGGGGTGGGAGGCAACGGTAGCGTTGCGTGAATTTTTTAACGGGTTTATTTCGGTGGTTCTCCACCTGGGGTACACGCACACCCTTGGGGGTGCAAGATGCCCTTTCTGGGGGTGCCAGACGTGGTCAGATCTTTTTTATACGCTAAATAATCAAAACGCATATTGAGCACGGACACGTAAGTAACAACTACTTTAATTCTAGATTTGAAGCTTTCGTGACTGCAAAGATTCATATCAGACTGTGGTAAGCTCTCCAACCCCCCCCTCTCCACCTCCCTTCAACTTGCTTATAAGGGATTACATCTTGAATCATTGCTTCACTTGATGCAGCTAATTCGGCTGTGACGGTCCCACCTGATGACGGAGACTTGTGTTGCCTCCGAAACGTCGTGATTTTTATTTTTATTTTTATTTTGATGTTTTACTTACGTGACTTAACCGAAAAAAACCTAATAACAACTACTTTGTTTCATCAAACCCTACGTATTTATTAACACTATTTGTTTACGATTGAGAACCAAAGGGGTGCAAGGCTGCAGTAAAGGTTAGGAACCACCGGTTTAATGTGATCCCAAATCGAGTAATTTGCGGTGGAACCTTTTAAAAGTGTCCGTAAAGTTCGAACCGTGACGCCGGCACGCGTTTCGAACGACATCGCGGGGATCTTTAGCGCTCGCCCGTGAGACGAGAAGCAGAATCGGGAATCTTTATTTACCCTGGAAGATGAACCGATGAGCTACGAGGCTCTGTAGTTCACGGATGTCCATCGGGGGTTAGCGAGGTACATCGGCAAGCGATGCCAAGGAAGCAGAGAGCGCGTGGTGCGGTGCTGTTGTTACGGATCGCACACGCGCCCCGCGATAATGGCCCGTTGGGTTCTAACCGCGAAAGTCCTGGTTGGGGTTGGGGGGGGGGGGGTATGTCACCGACGCCACCCCAGGTCATTTGGATCAACACAGCAAAGTTCTCACCTGGGAGATCGTCGGCTCATGCAGGAAAGATCGGAGGGGGACCTGCTGACGATGACAGCGCCGTACTAATTAAGCACAGCGGCCTCAATTAAGCCTGTCACAACACAGCGCCGTGACACACAGAGAACGAGAGAGAGCGAGAGGCACGCACGCACGCACACGCGGCGTTTGAGACTTGGTCAAAAAAGAAAAAAAAAGATTGCGCGCCTAATTTGAGTGGGGGCCTCCCTGTTGTGCATCGTCTCGTGGTGCTTCTGTTTTCAATGATCTCGTACAAGTCGGAGACACAGGTCCGCGTACTTACATCTATAATTAACACATGTCCGCTTGTCATTATTATTATTTTAAGTTTGACTGGCTGGGGGGAGGGAGGGACCGGCGGTCACGTCCAAAGGATGTGCGTGCAGGCTAGTATTAATACAACTAAATTGGTATACAGTATATGCATCATCTTCTTGGTTCTTTCGGTAAAGTCACGTAGAAGGGAAGTAATAAAATAATGAAAATAAAACATAATAAAATAATTCTCACGACGTTTTGGCCACAACGCAAGCAGCCGTCCTCAGGTGAAGACCAGGTCTGTCGAGGCGACAGCGTGAGGACGGCTGCTTGCGTTGTGGCCGAAACGTCGTGAGAATTATTTTATTATGTTTTATTTTCATTATTTTATTACTTCCCTTCTACGTGACTTTACCGAAAGAACCAAGAAGATGAATCCCTGCAGTCACAAAAGCTTTAAATCGAAATTTATTCACCATGGCAGGACATTTTACAACGTGGCTTTTTTTGTTTGAAGAGTGAATCCACAACATTTAGAATTTGAGTACGACGTTTCGCTGGTAATTACATCCAGCATCTCCGGCCGATTTTGCCAGAATCGTGAAGCCACCCACCTTGGATGGTGCTGGATGTAATTACCAGCGAATCGTCGTACTCAAATTCTAAATGTTGTGGATTCACTCTTCCAACCCACCGGTGGGCTGAAGAAGTAACTAATTGGCGTTTTGTTAACGTGACACATGTTTTACTGATTGGCGGTGACGGGTGGTGGAAGGTTGCGACGCATTTATACTTACGCGATCGAACCCAAAAGCTTTTCATGTGAATAATACCGGTCGCGAAAGCCTACGCGTTAACCAGTGCCATTACACTGGCAAATGCACAGCTATCGAATTACAAGTTGCAAGTCGCAGTTGCCATTGTGGGCTGGAGTAGACATCAGAGGCACGAGTTTAGAACCTTTGGTGCCAAATACGTATGAGTGTTGAACTTCTTCCGCATCGTACGTAGCCAACCGTGCTAATCGGATGTCCTGCCCCCGCCCCTCAATTTTACCAACCCACACTGACAGCGTGATTAAAGGTATCGTTAACAGGGAGGGGAGGGGAGGGGGACCTTCATCCAGCAGTGGATTGACATCAAAGTCCTACAAATAAATCCCTGAGAATACAAACAGCGACACCAACAAATTACAGAGCCCACGGAGCGCTCGGGAGGTGTTTTTTGTTTCTTGGTCAATCGATGCCCGAGACTTGGGATTGGAGCTGAGCCACAGAGCGCGTCCAGTCGAATCGGTCCCCCGCTGTGCGCGGAACCAAAACGGCAACAGCTGGCGCCGGCGACGCATCGTTTTATGAAAAGTACACATTTGTTAAGTCCCAATTAGCGACCCCCTAATTAAACGTGACCTCGTCCATATGACGACGCCCGCTCTGGATTCATAGGCGGGGTTGCTCGTTTCCTTCTATCTCCCACCCAGCCACCGATCACCACCAACCACCCACTACCACTCACCACCACCACTCACCCACCACCACTCACCACCACCACTCACCCACCCACTACCACTCACCACTCACCCACCACCACTCACCCACTCACCACCACTCACCCACTCACCCACTCACCACCACCCACCCACCACCACCTACCCACCACCACCACTCATTCACCCACCCACCACCACCACTCACCCACCCACCACCACTCACCCACCCACTACCACTCACCACCCACCCACCTACCACCCACCTACCACCCACCCACCACCACTCACCCACCACCCACCCACCACCCACCCACCTACCACCCACCCACCACCACTCACCCACCCACCACCACCCACCACCACCCACCCACCACCACCCACCTCCACCCACCACTAGAAGTCAAACTCCGCCTATGCAATCCCCACGTTAAGTCCTCCGCAGACTGGTGATGGAGCGTAACATTGACGCGGGAACGATATAGGAATTTCTTGCGCTCTATTGCCCTCCAGCTTTGTCAGCCTGCGACACGATAACCTGCGGAGACGATCGCCCGGCGCGAATGAAACTTTGCGCGGAGAGTTTCGTGTGCCTTTGTTGACTAAAAGTCTACTCAAAACTCATCCATGCGGGCATGCCGCGTGCGGCTGTGTCGGCAGTGGTGTACAGTGTGGCCTGAAACAAAAAATATTGGGTGACGTTTCGGGCAATGGCCCTTATACAGTGCACTTGTGCCATGGCATTGCAAGAATGTGTTGAGTGGGGTTTTTATTTTTGTACCGTTAGAAACCGGGGCAAATTGATCAAAGCGTCGCCCAAAACTAGGAAACAGAAATTGGAATGCACAACAAAAATTACAATTTAGAAAACGCCTCCAAACGAGATTGGGCTCTGACAGCATCTGCTACGGAGCTAATTCAACACTTTCGAGTACAAAGACAAACATCCCTCGTATAGCCTTAGCAGACTGTAGGGGCAAGTGCTTTTGGCGAGTAGCACCTATGAAGGCCGGAACGGTACACGAGGGGGTGGGTGGCCAGCACCACGCCTGACCGACTTTGTCTCCCCAGTGGCGATGATTTCCAGGTACTCATTTGAGACTGGGTCGACCTAGGGGAGGCAGCAAGACCTGTTCAGATAATCCGTCACTTGGTGGTGGCGTTCATGGGTGGAAATTGAACTCGGGTAGCCGGGTTCGTAGCGCAAGGCGCTAACGACTCAGCCACCGCTCCCACACTTCCGAGGACACAAAATCACCCGACGACCCTTGCTCTAAGCCTCATTTCTCCTAACTCTGTCTTAGGAAACTGCTTTTGACGATGCCTGCGCGCGCGTGATTTCTCTCCGATGACTCTGGATCGTTTTGTGCCCCGCGGGTTGCAGCTGCCGGCGCAGGTGAAGGGCAAGGCGCTGTGCGTTCTGCGGCGCAAGCGCGGGCCCCCCGCGGTGTCCCCCACGGGGCCCCCCGTGGGGCCCCCCACGGGGCCCCCCACGATGCCCCCCACGGTGCCCCCCACGATGCCCACCCCGGCCGAGTGGTGCCGTGCCAGCCTCACGTTCTGCGAGCTCTCCCCCTCCGTCCTCCAGCAGCTCGCCACGCTCATCGAAGAGGTGCGAGGATGTGATGATGATGATAATAATGATGATTGATAATTATAATAATGATGATAATGATAATAATGATGATAATGATGATGATGCTTGATAACTATGATGATAATGATGATTTGGCTGATGAAGACGGCACCGAGGACGGAGATGATGATGATGTTCTATTCCATTCTGTTCTGGCGAACGACAGCTCGATGTTCAGGAGTTGATGCCAATGTCGAGGTCTGCTGCTAGCCATGACGAGAGGGTTTTAGCAGAGAGAGAGAGAGTTCGTGTCATTTTGCTGCTCCTCCTCCTCCTCTGTTGAAGGAGCGACGACTGCCACAGTGGTGTTTACTAAACATAGTTTGGGTTGCATGACAACGATCGCACGCCTGTGGCTTGGTGCCTTTAATTGTCCATTCGTGAAGCAGATGTGTGCATTCGCCTGTGCAGCAAATTCGACTGATGACGTAAATAATATCTATGGGACCAATTTTTTAGTTTCCGGTATCAAAATGATGAAAAAACATCAAGCATGTGTCGTTAATGCAGACGTGATGCCTTGCAATCGGTGTCTATTTGGTGTTTGAGCATCTTAACAACTCCCGTGACGTTGCCCGAAAGGGTAAAGCCAATTCTTTTTTTTCCATCGATGTTGATGATGGTGATGTTGATGATGGTGATGTTGATGATGGTGATGATGGTGATGTTGATGATGGTGATGGTGATGATGGTAATGTTGGTGATGGTGATGGTGATGATGGTGATGTTGATGATGGTGATGATGGTGATGTTGATGATGGTGATGTTGATGATGGTGATGGTGATGATGGTGATGGTGATGATGGTGATGGTGATGATGGTGGTGTTGATGATGGTGATGTTGATGATGGTGATGATGGTGATGTTGATGATGGTGATGGTGATGATGGTGATGATGATGATGGTGATGTTGATGATGATGGTGATGTTGATGATGGTGATGATGGTGATGGTGATGATGGTGATGATGGTGATGTTGATGATGGTGATGATGGTGATGATGGTGATGTTGATGATGGTGATGATGGTGATGATGATGATGGTGGTGGTGTTGATGGTGTTGTTGATGATGATGTTGATGATGGTGATGGTGATGATACTAATGGTGATGGTGATGATGGTGATGGTGATGGTGATGTTGATGATGGTGATGGTGTTGATGGTGATGTTGATGATGGTGATGTTGATGACGGTGATGTTGATGATGGTGATGGTGATGATGGTGGTGTTGATGGTGATGGTGATGATGGTGATGTTGATGATGGTGATGTTGATGATGGTGATGGTGATGATGGTGATGTTGATGATGGTGATGTTGATGATGGTGATGTTGAAGATGGTGATGGTGATGATACTAATGGTGATGTTGATGGTGATGTTGATGATGGTGATGTTGATGATGGTGATGTTGATGATGGTGATGTTGATGATGGTGATGTTGATGGTGATGTTGATGATGGTGATGGTGATGATGGTGATGGTGATGATGGTGATGTTGATGATGGTGATGTTGATGATGGTGATGTTGATGATGGTGATGTTGATGATGGTGATGTTGATGACGGTGGTTGGTCGTTGATCTGAATCTCCCACCGCACACGCTCACCCGGCGGCGGCGGTGGCGGCAACACCTCTTGACACCCAGAACGTTCCACTCGAACCTTGGATACCAAATCGGCCACGGTTCTGTGCGAGCGTTTGCCCGAACCGCAGCGGCAGCGGTAGCCGGCCGGACAGCCGGACCGGTGTGTGGAGGTCTGAGGTCACGGCGGCACCCAGTGGCAGCTGCCGGCCGATGGCTCCGCTGGTTGCTCGCTCGAGGGCTTTTGGCTCGAGTGGGCAAAAGGGCCCTGGGGCGATGAGTCTGGTGGGGTGTGGGGAGGAGTTGGCGTGCGCTCGCCCTGTGATCGCGTCCGCAACGCCGATCTGCTCGTACCATTCCTGTTACGGTGTTGCTTGGAATGTGTGTTTTAGATTTGTGGAATTATTTTAGATTTGAAGTTTTCGTGACTGCAAGGATTCATATTCTTAGGTTTTTTTCGGTAAAGTCACGAAGGTAAAAATTTTAAAGTAATAAAAAGTAAAATAAAATAAAAATGACGACGTTTCGGAGGCAACACAAGCTTCCGTCTTCAGGTGGAACCGTCACAGCACGCTTGCTCTATCAAGCTATCGTGCTGTGACGGTTCCACCTGAAGACAGAAGCTTGTGTTGCCTCCGAAACGTCGTGATTTTTATTTTATTTTTATTTTACTTTTTATTAATTTTATTTTTTTACCTACGTGACTTTACCGAAAAAACCTAAGAATATGAAATTATTTTGTTTGTCGCTTTGGTGCCGAGATGCACTCGCTTGCGACGATGCGTGCGTTGCGGCGGCGGTGGTAGCAGCCAGCGGCGGTGTTGGTGGTTGATTGAAAAAAAAATTGTTCACGGCGCCTTGCGGATCCACGGCTGCTGGATATGAGGGCCTCGGCAAGGCGCGTCGTTCGTGCGACTTCTTTTGCTTTGACTGTGCTGTTTTAGCGCGCATTAGTGACGGGCAGGAGGGCGGGTGGTGTGGAGGACGGGATCAGTTGTAACTCGCCAGCGATGTTCACCGTGGACGGAGAATCAAACCTCGGGTTAATAGGTTCGTAGCTCGGCGCACAAACCACCGCACGACGCCACTTCCAACGCGTGTCCGTGGTGCGTTTGATTAGTGAGATGGAGGGCTGCGGGGGGAGGGGCGCTCTTTATTTAGCGTCAACTGAGAGTCCATTGAGATTACAAGCACCGTTATTTAAAAAAAAAACAATAACATTTTAATACAAGCACCGTTTTTTTTTTATAAACAAGAAAAATAATAGAGATTTTTTTTTGGTGCCACAGCACCAACTGCCCAGCTCTGCGGACGGAAATGGTTGCGGTGGCCGAGGCTCCAAGCGAGCTCGCGTCCGAGGCTCCATGCGACCTCGGGAGCTGGAGCTGGGCGGAGCTGCGTGGAGCTGCGTGGAGCGTTGCAACTCAGACGCCACCCACACCGCTCGCGAGCCGAAGCGACAACGCTTGTAGCCGCGTGCTTCCACAAACAAATACCGCACTCGATTAGCCCCGGAGTGAGTGAGCTTGTGGCTAAGACCGGGCCGTCAATAGGGGGGGAGGAGGGGGGGGATGCGGGGCCCGGGGCACACCCCCCCCCCACTCCATCTGACACCGTGACGTCACAGGCAGGGGGGCGGGGCTTGCTGAAGGGGGCTCTTGAAGGAACGAGGCGAGAGGAATTCTCACCGGAACGGTTCGGAGAAGACAAAAGCTCTGAATTGGGGGGGGGGGGATGGTGGTCACGTTGTGAGAGAGGATGCCTCACTGGAGAGGAGGAGGCTCTTGAAGGAAGCAGGAGATCGATGTCTGATGGTGACAATGGAGACGAGACAAAACCTCAGACTTGTGCATCATTTTTTTGTTGTCCGAGGAGAAGGCTCGCTGATGAAGGGTGCACTAGAAGGACGGATGTTGGTGGGGGGTGGGGGGGGTGGTGGATAGGCCGCCGAGAGAAGGTGGTAGAAGGGGGAGGCTCTGCTCGACAGCGTGACGAGAGAGAGAGGGGGGGGAGAGATTGCCGTGGGGACGAGATGAAGAGCAACTGCACAGAATGGATGGGACTTGAGCCGTGAAACTTTGGCCTTGGGCGGAGAAATCCGAAAAGAGAGTTATTGGGACTGGCATGCAGAGTCTGTGGGTGACGGGGTGAGAACGGTGGGGCCGGGGGTGGGTGATTTTGTATGTGGCGAGATGTTAACTACCTCGCCAGGTATACGCCTGTATATTTGCAGTGTGCATGTTCTTCCCGGAGGTCGCGCGGATTATTTTTTTCTTTCCGGATCCATCCCGGGTTTTTCCCCGCACATTTAGGAACGCGCGTTTAAGGGCCGTCCATAAATGACGTCACGTACCTGGGGGCGGGGGGGGGGGGTCAGACGTTTGTGACGATGTTTGACGAGGGGGGGGGGGGTGAGAAATGTGACGTCACGTAAAAATGCACAACTTTAAATAAATATAGACAACACGTTCTACTTCATTAAGTCGACTTTTTAATAATTTTTTTATCCTACAACGTCAGAGTGCAGCGCCACATTAAATACCCACTACAATGACAATAGTTTAAAGCCATTTAAAGCATGTTTTTTTTTTGGGGGGGGGGGGGCAGAGCTTTGTGACGTCATATTTGAGGGGGGTCTGACTTTTTGTGACGCCGTGTGACGAGGTGGGGGGGGGTCAAAAATCGCCCAAAATCGCGTGACGTCATTTATGGACGGCCCCTTACCTGCTAAAACATTTTTTTTTAAATGGTCGTAGTGGTTAGAATGTTGACCTTATTGCGCATCGCCGTACGTAGCCCAACCGTGCTTATCTGATGTGCGGGAGTGGGTGGTTGTTGGGGGGGGGGTGCGTGGATGGGGGGAGGCCGTGATTGCGTGTGGCCCCGTGGCCTTCGTTTGAAGGCCGGCGTCAGCGAGTCGTTGCCGGGCAGTAACGCCGCCCAACGCTCCCGTCGCAAATCAGCACCGCAACAACCGCAGCAGCAGCAACAACTACAATAACCACCACAACCACCACCACCACCTCTCGCCGCTGCCGCTGCTGCTGCCGCCAGCACTGCCGCCTTCCCCGTATGTGTGTGTGTGTGTACCGTGTGTGTGTGTACCGTGTGTGTGTGTGTGTACCGTGTGTGTGTGTGTACCGTGTGTGTGTGTGTGCCACGCGTGTGTGTGTACCGTGTGTGTGTGTATCGTGTGTGTACGTACCACGCGTGTGTGTGTGCCACGCGTGTGTGTGTGTATCGTGTGTGTGTGTACCGTGTGTGTGTGTACCGCGTGTGTGTGTGTACCGTGTGTGTGTGTGTGTACCGTGTGTGTGTGTACCGTGTGTGTGTGTACCGTGTGTACCGTGTGTGTACCGTGTGTGTGTGTGTACCGTGTGTGTGTGTACCACGC